TCACGAGAAAGCAGATGGTCCCTCCGATGTCTCGACTTAGGATTCTCCAACTGTCTGATGGTGTGAAGGTGAAACACGCTCAGCAGAAACCACACTTTGAGTTTTGATCTTTTCCCGGGCTAGCGGTGTGCATGAACAAGGCTGTCTCTCGTGACGCGGGGCAGTTCCCCGTCAGCCCCGCCGCCGCGAGGGTGAGCCGCCCTTACAGGGACAACAGCGCTCTACCCAGCCTGTGTGCTCTCCACTTTCAGTACAGTCTGTAACTGGTTACACGAGGCTGTCAGCACCATTATAGAACAGGCTTTGTGTTAGGCAATTCTGCCTGACCGTGGGCTAATTTGTGTCCTGAGCATGTTTAAGGTAGGCTAGGGTGAGCTGTGATGTGTGTTTGGTGGGTGAGGTGTATTAAATACATCTTCAACTTAAAATAATTTCACATTACAATGGGCTTATCAGGATGTAACTCCATCATAAGTCAGAGAAGATCTGTATTAATAATATACTTCATGTAGCTGTTCAGTCTACGTCGTGTCCGACCCTATGAGACCCCATGAACTGCAACACACCAGGCTTCCATGTCCTTCACTATCTCCTGGAATTTGCTCAAACTCATGCCCACTGAGTCAATGATGCCATTCAAACGTCTCATCCTCTGTTGTCCCCTTCTCCTCCTGCCTTCAATCTTTCCCAGCATCAGGGTCTTTTACAATGAATTGGCTTTTCACATCAGGTGGCCAAAGTACTGAAGTTTTGGCTTTAGCACCAGTCCTTCCAATGAATACTCAGGACTGATTCCCTTTAGGATTGACTGGTTTGATCTCCTTGCAGTCCAAGGGACTCTCAAGAGTCTTCTCCAGCACCACAATTCAAAATACTCTTCATAAATCAAACTAAATTATTTAGCAGGAAGCCAAGAGAGACCCACCCATTTCTGAAGAAACAACCAGAGATCACTGAGATGTTTATTTTCGTCTAATTGAAGAAATGTTTGTCTTGTTTTTCTGTTGCCCAAGGTTGGAGTTTTTCCTCCTGGTATGTTGTCTCTAAACCCACGAGCCATTTTCACCACCAAGCTTCCTGTATTCTCCAGAGAGACAAAAGGATATACATATATATATATACACACACACATACACATATTTATGGTATTGTTTTTATTTAGTTCCTAAGGAGATCCAACCAGTCCATCCTAAAGTAAATCAGTCCTGAACATTCACTGGAAGAACTGATGCTGAAGCTCAAACTCCAATACTTTGGCCACCTGATGAGAAAAACTAACTCATTTGAAAAGACCCTGATGCTGGGAAAGATTGAAGGTGGGAGGAGAAGGGGATGACAGGACGAGATGGCTGGATGGCATCACCGACTCAACGGATAGGAGTTTGAGTAGACTCTGGGAGTTGGTGATGGCCAGGGAGGCCTGGCGTGCTGCAGTCCATGGGGTCGCAAAGAGTCAGACACGACTGAGCGACTGAGCTGAACTGATGTCTGACTCTTTGTGACCCCTATTATATAAATATCATATACTGTTTATTATAATTATATATTATGTATTATATTTATGATGCATAATAGACAAATATTTGTATTATGTAATAAACATACATGACTATGTATTCACATATTTTACTTTGATATCCTTTTGACTGTCTCTGGAGAATCCAGGAGTTTGGTGGTAAAAATGACTCATGGGTTTATAAGGAACACAACAGGAGGGAAAAAACTTCAACCTCGGGCAACAAAAAAAGACAAACATTTCTTCAATTATAAGAGCTGAAAATAAACATCTCTGATCTCTGGTCACTTCTTCAGAAACGGGTGGGTCACTCTCAGCTTCCTGCTAAATAATTCAGTTTGATTTATGAAGATCCAGATAGCAGTAACTTAGCACCCAAAGAATAAGCCTTTTCCCTCTCATCTGGATTCTCAAGAATACACTTGCAGTGGTCTTTCTGATCCCCAAGTCCTAGTAAATTACACTGAAAGAATTTGAGCACAATCTTAGCTCCAATAGGGACATTTACAGCTTGGCTTTTTTGGTTGGTTATGTTACTGATGCCCATGCTTCAAACTTAAGAAGACTGCCTTGGTAATTTCTTTCTTTCCAGAAACCTCCTGACACTAGTTTCTTAAAGATCTATAAGTCTGTTTTCCTATTGACATAAATTCCTCCACTCAGCCTTATAAAATCCCTTTTATACCAAATATTTAACTTTACATGGAAAACAGTTGAAAATGGTATTAACCAGCAGATACAGTTTGGAAAAACCAGTCAATCACAGATTATCCAAAGAACTGACAGCAGTAAATCTTATTTCCAGCGTTAACTACATGCATGTGTGCTCGTCGTGTCTGACTGTGACCCCATGGACCACAGTCCACCTGGCTCCTCTGCCCATAGGGTTTCCCAGGCAAGAAACTGGAGTGGGTTGCCATTTCCAGCTCCAGGGGATCTCCGGAGTCTCCTATGTTGGCAGGCAGATTCTTTACCACTGCGCCATCTGGGAAGCCCCCACCAGTAATTGGCACCTCCTAAATTATTACAAGACTTCCTTTCTGACAGATCACAATGGGACTCACTGAAGACCACCACCTCCTGATTTCCTGCTTGGACTGGTGGTGAAGACCACGTTGAGGGAGAAAGATTGGGGTGCTGTACTGTCGAGTTCTAAACCAGCCCTGGAGGCTATTCTATATTCTAGGTCCTTTGCAATTCTACAAAAATTTTAAAATCAACTTGTCAGTTTACATACAGACACGGAGTAGCCTGCTGGGGTTGTACTGAATCTACAGTGAATCTGTATTTTGGAATGACAGCTGAACAATATTGAGTCTTCTGACCATGAACAAGGTATAATACAGCACTGTTCACTTAGGTCTTTGATAGTTCTATGTCTAGGGCTTCCCTGGTGACTCAGAGGTGAAGAATCCGCCTGCTAGCGAAGGAGACGTGGGTTCAGTCCCTGGGTCGGGAAGATCCCCTGAAAAGGAAATGGCTACCCCCTCCAGCATTCTTGCCTGAGGAATCCCATGGACGGAGGAGCCTGGTGGGCTTACAGTCAGTCCATGGGGTTGCAACAACTGGTCTTTCACATTTTTTATTCCAAACTACCTTTTTATGCTATTGTAAATGTTTTTCATTTCGCTTTCCAACTGTTCATTGCTAACATATAGAAATATAATTGATCTTTGCTCATTACTTTACATCCTGCAGCCTCGATACACTCATTATTTCTAATACCTTTTTATAAATTTCACTGAATTTTCTACATAGATGATAATGTCATCTGTGAAAAAGAAAACAATTTTTTTTTTCCAATTTGCATGTTCTTAATTCTGTTTTTTGTCTGGCTGCAGTCTAGAATCTCCAATACAATGATTAAGAGACATCCCCGATTTCTCCCTGATACTGGGGGGAAAAGTATTCGGTCCTTCACAATTAAGTTTGATGTGAGCTGCAGGGTTTCTGCAGGTGCCTTTTAATCAGATTGGGGAAAGTCCCTTTATTCCTAGTTTGCAGGATTTTTTTTAACCAGAAGTAGATTGTGTGAAAGTGAAGTGTTAGTTGCTCAGTTGTGTCCAACTCTGCGACAGCAGAGTTTGTCAAATACCTTTCTAGCACTGATTCCAATGATTATGTGAATGTTTAATGAACCCTGCATTCCTGGTATAAACCCCATGACCATGACATATTACATTTTTTTTATCATATCATAGGTTTTAATTCACTAAACTTTTGCTTCAAGTTTTTTTTTTTGCTTCAAGTTTTTGCTCCTATGTTCATAATTTGTTTTTCAGCTTTTTGTCTGGCCAGGATACGTAGGTAAGTTTGAAACCAGGGTAATGCTGACCCCACAGAATAAGTGGTGGAATTTGTGTAGAACTGGTATTATTTCTCCAAATGTTTGATAAAACTCACCACTGAAGTCACAGGGGTTATAGAAAGGTTTTACCTATTTCTTCTTGGGTGAGCTCTGGTAATTTGTGTCTTTCAAGGAATTCATCAATTTCACCCATGTTCTTAAATTAGTTCAAAGGTGTTCCTAAGACTCCCTATTAATTTAATATCTATAGGATCTTCAGTGATGTTGCCCCACTCACTCCTTATATAGGTACCTGGTCTTTTCTCCTCACTAATCTGGCTGGAGATTTATCAATTTTACTGATTTTCCCAGAGAACAAGCTTTTGGATTAATCTTTCTCTTTCATTTCATTGGTTGCCAGTTTGACCTTTATTATTCCTTTTCTTCTGCTTACTTTGGACTTACTTTACTCATGTTTCACTGCTTCTTAAAGTGGGAACTGAGGTCACTGATCTGAAACCTGTTTTCCTTTCTAATACAGACATTTAAAGCTACAAGTTACCCTCCAACTACTGCTTTAGCAAGAACCCACAAATTCTAGTTTTTTTAAAAATTCATTTCAAATTACATTCTAATTTCTCTTTAGATTTGTTCTTTGCCTTGTGAGTTATTTCATTGCCAAATATTTGGGATATTGAAGAATCTTTCTTTATTGATTTCTAACTTAATTTCATGAGGCCAAATTATTTAGCTTTTGAAAATTCTTAAGTTATTTTGCAGCTAACCAATATTTTAAAAAATGGCTCTTGATAGGTATTCTGGAAATTTAAGTAGTTTTCAATGGGTCCTTATCAGTCATATTGCTGGGGAAAAAAGTTCTTTCAACTTCTTTTTTTAAATTTTTTGGCCACTCTGTGTGCACGTGGGACCTGAGTTCCCAGATCAGGGATCAAACCTGCACGCCCTGCATTGGAAGCGCAGCGTCCTAGTCATCGGACTGCCAGAGAAATCCCATTTTTAAACAAAAGCTGTAGCTGAGTTATGATGTCATGTTCATTTCAGGTATAAAGCACAGAGATTCAGTTTTACATATGTGTGTGTGTGTGTGTGTGTATGTATATATATATGCATGGCTCAGATGATAAAGAATCTGCCTGTATTGAGGGAGACCTGGGTTCGATCCCTGGGTTGGGAAGATCACCTGGAGAAGGGACCAGCTACCCACTCCAGTATTCTGGCCTGGAGAATTCCATGGACAGAGGAGCCTGGTGGGCTACAGTCCATGGGGTTGCAAAGAGTTGGACACGTCTGAGTGACTAACACTTTCACTTTCTTCACATATATATTATATATATGCTCTTTTCCAGATTCTCTTCCCTTATAAGTTACCCCAGCTTGTTCTTTAACAATGTACAGTATCTCAACTTCCCTCCTAACCCAGAAGCAGGAACCAGCTGGCCTGAGGCCCGTTCCTGAACCCACAAACAGGCTGACTTCAGCGGCATATGCTCCCTCAGAGGACTGATATGAGATCCAGGCGAGGTAACACATGAACAGCACTTAATGCAGGAACTGGCTCTGTGAAGCATGATGTAAGGGTTGTCTCTTATTATGATGTGAAAAAGTGACAGTCACAGCGCGCATCTTACCCAAGGGTCCCAAACCCCGGGTCCCTGGCCATCCTGGCCCGGGTCCCTAGCAGTCACCCACCCCACGGGCTCATGTGGACAAGGAGACACCAGCTATGTGCTTCCACCCGCCGGACAGCAAGCCCAGTTGCGGGCAGAGGAGGGCCTGAGTCCAGAGCAGATGCGGGCGGGCCCTGATCTGAGAAACGTCATCTAACTCTAAGCAAACACAGTCCTCATGCAGCCACAAAAGACGACAGACAAACATCAACGAATGTGACTTTAAATTCCGTGCTCATCATGGTGGACAGTCGTCATTTGCACCCACAGCCATCTGAAGCCAGTAGTCCCGATTGTTAAAGATCACGAAGTTGTATAAATGTTCTCCTCCTTTCTGAAAACCGTGTTCATTTTCTCTCCAGGAAACAGGGCTGTCTGCAAAGCCTTGAACAGACAGCGTCACCCACGGGGCCAACTTTGGTTCGTCAAAGTAGCGACTGAAAAAGACAGACACTTCTTAACAAACAGGGAGACTTAGGGATGGTCACATTTATCTTCTTGTTTACTTATTCAGGATAAGTGGTATTTCTGATGCTCCTATGAAGCGTCCACCTAAGCTTTTATTCATAAAAATTAGAAGACAGAAATTCAACTCCCAGTGCTATGCTGTGAACTCAGTAAAGGTTCATCACGATGCAATACACAGGACAAACCTCACTGGCTCCTACCTTACTGCGGAAGCACATACGATTCAAAGAACAAAAGAGACCTCCACAAACTGTGTTAAGAGCACTTCCCCCCTTTAAGAGTCCTGCTTTCAGGGGTTCTGTGAACTGAAACACTGCAGAATATCAGGTTTCTCTTTTAAAATTCATCAAAATTTTGAAACTTCAACCTTCTTATTGAGGAAAATCAAAGCACAAAGCAATAAATGTGAAAAAGGGATGCTGGATTTAAAAAGGAAAAACCTCAACAGTTACAGCTTTGACATTTTCCAAGTGACGACTTCGAAGGTGCCAGGCTCACTCTAGAGTCTTCTCAGTACGGGACGCCGTGCTTACATACCACCTCCCTGCTTTACACTACACAGCCCGGGGCATGTCACTCGTGTCCAGGGGCTCACGGATGTTAGGGCTAGGCTGGATCTTAGACATGATGTGGATTCAGAGGTGGTCAACTCCTCTTCCCACCCATTTCAAAAAGTGAAGCATTTGGCAGAACTCCAACACGTAAAACAGGTCAGAATGTGTTCCGTGGAGCTCCACTGTCTTCTTAGGTGATCCCATAACTGGCTGCGCTGAAACGGTCCGGGCGAGGCAGGGCAAGAAGAGCAAGCAGTTTGTTCTCAAGAAGCCCAGTTCGCTCTGCTCTCCTTCCGAAAGGACAAGGATGCGGCAACATCACCAGGGAGAACTAATTACGTTATGTAAGATGATGATGTTACTGCACGGGAACCCACCCAAGAGGGGAAAAAGGACACATATGCGGGGGCGCTGTGGGCCCTGCATCCCGAGCGCTGCCCCCAGAACAACACGGAGGTGCAGACAGCAAGACAGAATAAGCAAAAAGGCGTTCTCACCACAGCCGTTCCAAAAGGACACATATCCTCTCTGGGAGGATGAACCCCGTGACGGTGCACAAGGACGCCTGGGCCACCACAGTGCTTGGCTGAGGACAGCAGTAGGTTGACACAAAATTATAAGGCTCATTGTTTCTATAAGAAAAAAAAAGAAAGAAAACGCCTCTATATCCACCACTTTCGGAATAGTAAACCCGTTAGAAACGAGAAGCCAGCCCCTGCCCGCCGGGACCCGGGAGCCCTGGTACACACAGGTCTGCGTGACAGAAGACGGCGCCCAGCCAGTCGAAGAGCTCGCGGGCGCTGCAGGCCGCCTCCGGCTCGCCCCCGAGCCGGCCACTCTGCAGCACCGGGCACCGCAGGTCCCGCGACGTGCTCAGCGATATTTTTGGCTGATGCTCCTGAATTCCGTAACCGGAAAAGTATGACATCATCATGGATCCTTCTGTACCTTCAGACACACCAAATAAGGCTGCTTCAAGAGTGTGAACACGCTCAGCAAGTCCGTGAGCCCACCCCGTTTCTGCCTGAGGGTTTCAGGAAGCAGGGAGGGTGAAGTCAGACCAGGGGGGCGCTGTACAAAGCTTTATTCAAAGTAAAACCATTTAAGTTGCTTCCAGCTCCTAGAGCCAAAGTTATGTCAACATTCGTCTTCGTGGAAAATCTGAATGCTTTCAGATGCAACCCACACTACTTTCATCATCTGCTTCACTAAGCAACTTTCAAGCTAGTAAGTAAAACCCAAAGCATTGCTTATGCATCAATAAAATTAGTGAACTCTACACACAGAGAGAAAGGAGTGCATCTGCACTCTTGAAGCAAACAGAGGAGGAGCTGGATGGCAGAACCTCAGTCCAGCTTGTCTTCGAAAGCCAGGAAGATCCAGTGGGTCCTGAGGGGTCTTCCGGTGGCCTTGGAAGACAGAGACAGCGACCCCCTGAAGCAGGGGGCAGGCTTGCTAACACTCCAGTGTATTAGAAAGAAGACCTCCGTCCCGCTTCCCTCCCTCCAGGGCAGAGGTCAGCAGGCTCACTGTCCAGGATGAAAGGTCTGCGCTGCTGAGCCTCCAGGCTGCCCTTCGGTAAGGCTGCCCCCGCCATGCACCAGCGTTCCCGGCCTGAGCGGCCCCCTGCAGGAACCAGGACCTGTGAACTGGTGCGGACGCTGATGCCCTGGCTGCTGCGACTGCTGGGAGTGAGTCGGTCCTCTGCTGCTGACCCAGGCGTCTCGGGTCTCCTGCCAGTGCCCAAGAGATGGTGCGGGCTGACTTCGCAGCTTGCAAGCAGGGCCAAAACCTCAGACCTTTCACAGGTCCCAACAAGCCCCTAAAATACCCAGGAGCCTTAGAATACAGAGCTCTCCAGAACCCAAGGCACAGGAGGCCCTCCACAGACTCCAGGCCACTGAGATGCCAGGCTCTCGGCCCTGGGGCCACACCACACACAAGCTGCACTGAGGTGCTGCAGACCCCAGGTTCACGCGGGCAACCCTGCCGGCCCCAGGGACATGACCTTCCAGGGAGAGCAGACAGGGGCCTGCTTCCAAAATGGACCCAGGGCTCCCCTCTTCTCCGAGAGAGAACCACACCACGGTAACTACGATGCTCTGATCCCTTATAATCCTGGTTTGGGCCAAAGAAAACACTTCGAAAAGGACTGAGGTACATGGCGGTTGTAAACAGATCAGAATGTATAGTGAACAATGTATTGTTCCAATCACGTAGAAGTTACAACAAACTTAATCTGACATTTAATGACATGCCTGATTCTGACCCTGCAACGATGAAGAAGCACTTTGTACATCACTAGAATTGTTATTTTAAAACATTCCGGCCAAGGCTGCCGGAGCTGAGCCGGAGGAAGAAAGGAGAGCAATGGGAAAGGTCAGCTGCTTCGAGACCATCCTCGAGAGCCCTGGATGGATGCGTAACCCGGGGAGACGGAGGTAGACGGCTGCATGGCTGGATGATCCTGAACTATGTGGATGCCAGGGGACCGAGCAGCTTCCTTAACAAAGCTTACAGGCTCCCTGCTGTCCCAAAGTAATGTCCCTACCAAACCTTCGGTTAGGTCAAAATGGCACAAAATGAAGAAGCAACACCTTAAGACACACCTTGCTAACAGATGCGTGATATACATCAAGATAAAGCACAGATGCTCACAGACCCAGCCGGAGCTCTGACGGCGTGGGGCTAAGATGCTGAGTGCAGTTCTGGGGGAGGGAGCCTGGGGGTGTCCTCTCGCTCCTGGGGTGCCCTCCACCTCCATGGAGGCTCGCTGCAAGACACATGCTGAGCACTACTTTTACTTTTTTTTTGGTAAAACTTAAGTAACGTAAGGGTTTCCCTGCTGGCTCAGACAGTAAAAAATCTTCAATGAGGGAGGCTTAGGTTCTATCCCTGGGTCAGGAAGATCCCCTGGAGAAGGGAATGGCTACCCACTCCAGTGTTCTGGCCTGGAGAATCCCATGGAAAAAGCAGCCTGGCGGGCTATGGTCTGTGGGTGGCAAGGAAGAGGCGGACACCTATATCCATGTAGGTAAGCAGCCTCCCTCACCAGTGGGCTGAATCACCACGCCATCCTCACTATGACCCTGCAACTAACAGCTAGATTTCAGCACCACTCTATCGTTATTACACAATTTATTTTTCATACCTGTTTGATGCCACGCCAAAAGAAAATCAAACTTCAACGGCTTCTTTTCTCTGAAGGCCCAAGATACTCTTTTATACTTCTTAGACTCCAGGTTAGAGGATAAATCCATCAGATCAATGGAAACAACTTTAAAAAATGGAGAGGAATAAACAGTTCATTCATACACACACAGCTTGTGCTGTGCAATACATGCTGGATTAAAAACATCAGGAGTTCTGGAAAATTCATGGATGAAAAAAGTCACTTTGTCTTCCTTGCCCTCCCTTTGGTTTACCAAATCAAAACTCTGCTTTTGATGGGCATTTGAGGAATTGAGCTAGATACAACAGGTGTTTAAAATTCACACTTTCCCAGTCAAAGACCACGGGCAGAGATCACCTCTAATCAAACCAAGCCGGTGGCAGCCACGACCACTGACTTTCAAGCAGACCCAGCAGAGCTACACCCCTCAGGCACGGGTGAATCTCTACTAGGATCGTAACACTTGGGAAAATTAAAGGAAACTCTTTACTAAGAGCAAGCTGGAGCAGATAAAGATGTGCATATGTAGAATGGGTAAACAACGAGGTCTACTGTATAGCACCGGCAACTATAGTCAATATCCTGTGCTAAACCATCACGGAAAAGAATGCAGAAAACAATGTGTATATATGTGTAATGAAGTTACTGCGCTGTACTGCAGTAATTAACAAAACACTGCATATCAACCACGCCTCAATGCAAAATTTAAAAAAAGGACAGGCTGGGTTCATTACTTTGAACTTGCAACCCAGAACATACGCATCTAACAGACCAGGTCCAAGTCTACGACCTTCGTGAGATGCCGCTGGTAAAATCACCTGGCTGCATAGCAGGCCCTCATCCTCTCTGATACGGAGCTTTAAAGACAGACAAAGCCACACTGCTTCTACACAGAGAGAAGACAAGCAGCTCAAAGGCGTAAATCTGAATTCACTGCTACCTTTTGTGAGAAACTGATGGAGAGAGCCCACACTTACTGAATCTCATGGTCTTCCTGCCAGAATACTGAGACGGACGACCCTGAAGTCCAGTTTCTTCATAAGTGTCTTTATCCAGTGATAAAATTAATTTCCCTGTAAATCAAATAATAATTCCCATAAAGAGACATTAAACATATAACGTGTTCTCATGTTTTTGGTGTTAAAAAGTAAAATAAAAATATAACACGTTCTCTAAGAGAAAGCAAGGCAAATTGAGCAGTTAAATACCAGTGCACATAAAGATCTTTTTATAATACAAGTATATTATTTACCCATTATATCTTACTTATAAACAAGAGTATTATTTACAATTACATGTACAAACACAGTATTTATTACAGTGAAACTAAAAATTATCTTTTTATTAAAGAAAGAATAAACAAATTATGGTACACTCCTTTGAGATATTTTCAAGACATTAAACATAGTAAATTAAAACTGTATGCACTGATATGGAAAGATGTCTAGGATACAGACCTTCGGGAAAAAAGAAAATTGAGAAACAATAGAGTGTGACATAATATATGTCTTTTTTTAAAAAAAAGAACAGCCTGTATGTGTGATTTTAAATTCATAGAACGTATCTAGAAGAATAAATACCTACCTGCTAATAAGAGTGCCTGCTAAGAATGGGAACGAGTTTGGGGGGAGCTGGATGAAAGGGTGGACCGTCACTTTACTCACACCTGTGTGATTTGACTTTTTCTTTTTTACAGAATGCATTTCCTTAAGAACGAAGGAAAAATGAGTGTGCTTACCAGCTGGCAGCAGGGCAACAGTATTATCCTCATCAATATTTGTGCTGTATGTCAGCGCATAGCACGAACCTGAAAGACAGCCCAGAGGAGAAATTAAGGGGAAAAAAACCACACCTGCAAAAAGTCAGTGGATGAGTTTGACATGATAACCGATCTTCCGGGTTACAGGTCCCGCTCACTCAGTAACCCTAAACTGGCCATGGTGAAGGTGGAAGACATGCAAGGCCAGGCCCCGCTCGTCCACATCCCCATCCAGGGCCTGTCTGTGCACGCCGACTACCACTGCGTGGCGAACGCGTGCACCTCTGCGGACGCTGCAGAGAGGCGCAGAGTGGAAGAGCAGGTGAGGCACACACCAGGGACGCCGAAGACTCAAACCTGCCAAGAACTTATGTGAAGTCAAGAGAGCTGCTCGATCTCTCTGAGCCTCAATTTCCTCACCTGTAAAATGGGGCTGCAGGCCCATTTCACAATGTTGTTGCTGGGGTTAGGTTGAGCCACCCATGGAAAAGTGCCTGCCATGCCCAGGGCCTACATCATTAGCAATCAGAGCATCGAACTTTTTTTTTTTTGGCTGCACCACGTAGTTTGCGTTATCTTAGTTCCCCGACCAAGGACTGAATCCAGGCCTTGGGCAGTGAAAGCCTGGAGTCCTAACCACTGACCGCCAGGGAATTCCTCAGTATCTAGTTTCAAAACTGATGAAAGAAATCATGTCGGTGAGACCAAAGACAAGAGGCCAGGGGCTCCTGTGCAGTGATGCCTGCAGTGAGGATGGATCCTTAAAAGACACTGGAATGGTTTCAAACGAGTGGCTCCCAGGAAGTAACTGGTACAAGCCAGTCAACCCAGCAGACACAGGTGGACTGAGGGCCGCAGGGTCCAAGCAGAAGACGCTGGGCCCCCGTCAGCACCTGGCCCTGCAGAAGGCAGCGTGGCCACATCAGGAGACCCACGTGCTGAGACGGCTGTTGTGGGTGCTGCGTGGAGCACAGTGGTCCTTGCAGCCACGCCCAACAGCACTGTATCTGAACACAGCACCACAAAGCTTCTCCTCTCCACGAGCTGTGTGTGACAACACCCCCACGGGATGCGTGTGGACCCGTGGAATCAGAAACCCAACCTGAGGGCGCACGGAGCAGGCTGAGCTGCTGAGGGGTGGAGGGCGGGCCGCACACGCCTGACCTTGCAGATGAGCTCCATCAATCTGATTCGAATAAGGCAGGAGCCCTGAAATTGCGATGTGACCTCCCTGGCCTTCCGCATCCCACCACGTTCACAGACACTACATGGTTTTTCTTACCTTTCTTGACGAAAGTATTGATGAATTCGTGTGTGATTAACTCATAAAGAGGTAAATCCTTCACAAGGTAATAGGGTCCGAATTCCATAACCAGATCTTTCAGTTCTTTTGATAGTATCCCACATTCAGGAATCAGAAAGGAAACCTATTGGAACATACAATATAAAAAACTTATTTTTTTTTATTAATAATAGAAACATGGTTGACTTACAGTATTATACTAGTTCCATGTGTACAGCATGTAATTCAGTATTTTTGCAGATTATACTCCATTATAGGTTTAAACAAGTTTTATTTTCATGCAGATCAACACCCAGGATTTAGTGATGACACAACATAATTAAGGCTACTAACCATTCCTCCACAGCTCTCAACAAAACTCTGAAATTAATTTACTAATCTCAGGAAAAGAGAAATCCAACAATTCGAGTTTTCCATTTCTGAATTCAAGTGTACAGTATAGGAAAATTGAATGAAAAAAATAATTTTAATGGGAAACTCTTGAGTTTTATCTTTTGAAAATAAGCAATATATTTGATGTCCTGTTCCTGCCACTACATTAATTAATTTTTAGGGAAACAGAGTACAAACGATGGCTTCCCTGGTGTCTCAGTGGTAAAGAATCTGCCTGCCAATGCAAGAGACGTGGGTTCAATCCTTGGGTCAGAAAGATCCTCTGGAAAAGTAAATGGCAACCCACTCCAGTATTCTTGCCTAGAAAATCCCATGGACAGAAGGAGCCTGATGGGCTACAGTCCATGGGGTCACAGAGTCAGACACGACTTAGGGACTCAACAACAAGTACAAGTGAATATCCCCAGATCTGTGTATCCTGGTACCAGGCTGGAATCAGAGGAACTGTCCCTTAGGGTGTAAGGAATTTAGGGAGACTGGGTGTTCCCACTGTCCTGACAGAAAAGCTCTGCACATGGGCCGGGGCGGACACTGTGCACCTCCCAGACGTCTGTCTGTGATGAGCTCTCCACCCAGAGCAGAGACGTTCAACCTGACAGGTTTCAAGCGGTGCACGGCTGCTCCACACCTTGAAAAAAGCCACTCTCCCAAAGCGGGGACACCAGTGTCCCCGAGGGACCGGGGTCGCCACTTGTGTCTGAGACACTGGCCAGTGAGGCCTGAGTTGAGATTAGGCTGATCAACTAAAAAGTGTGAGAGGCTTCACGGACTTCCATTTTAAGTTCTAGTCTGGAGTCCTCCCCACTTGCACGGGTCGGTGAAGCCTTCCCAGCAGACACCGCCCGGGAATCGGGGGCGTCTCCTCCTCTCAGCAGGTCCAGTAACTAACCCCACTGACGCCTCAGCCGCGAAAAGGGCCCCGGGGCTGGCGACGCTTCCAGGAAACACCAGCAAACATCGCTGTGTGCAAGGCCACCGAGGCGAATTTCTGCCAAAAGGTGCCCAAATACCGCCCTGGCGCTCTGGCTGGACAAGGCGGAAGGCAGCGGATAGAAGGAAGACCTCAGGGATCAAACCAACGCCCGTAGGCGATTCCGAGGAGCAAGCAGGTCCCGGGCGGGACCGGGCTCGACGCTCCGGAGAGACACGCGGGTGCGTGGCGGGCGCAGGAAGCCAGCGGCGGTGAAGCAGCACGGCCGCCCCGCCCACCCTGGCCCCGCCCCATCTCCCGGGCCCGCCCCCAGGACGCAGCACGCCTGGGGCGGGGCCAGACCAGAGACCCCATGAACCCTGCCCCGCCCTCCGACGTCGGGGCACCGCCCCCGCACCGGTGCACCCTGGAGCTTGTGGTCCTGAAGCGAGTCAACACACGAGCCTGGAGCCACGGAGACTACAGCTCCCAGCATGCCGAGCGAGGGCCCCGCCCCTCCGCACGACGAAGGCGGGCCCCCGGAGCAGAGCCCGGCTCTCCCTCAGCCTCAGGCGCCCGCGGGAGGGAGGGTGCGCGATTCGCGGACCCAGGGCCAGGACTCACCCTGTAATTGTGATAGTGCGTCTCCACGAGATGCCGGTGGCGCGACTTGTCATGGCCGAAGTTGGACTTCTCGCAGACCAGCAGGTGCCGGGGCGCCTCGCGCAGCCGGCGCAGCGTAGCCATGCTCTCCCTGCGCAGACCCTGCCGGCTCGGCTCGCCCCGCCCCCTTCCCGCGGGCGTGCGCAGTGAACGCAGGGCGCACGTGCGGAGGCGGCCCGGGTAGGGGCGGGGCTAGCGCCGGGGGCGGGGCTAGGCCTCCGGAACCTCAGCCGAAGCTCTCTGATGGGTACAGGAAAGGCGCGCTGCCGGGAATGAATTCCTCTGGGCCCCAGGTTGCCCTTTTCCAAACTGTCAAGGAGGTTTCTGTTTAATACTTTCAATAGGACTCCTTCAGAACCACTTTTAAGATCCTTTTAAAAATATCCTTTTGGGGAATGCTCTAGCCATCCAGGGGTTTGTATTCGGTGCTTACAGTGCTGGAGCCAGGGTTCAATCCCTGGTTGGGGAAATGAAGATCCCACAAGCCGGCGCAACCAAAAAGAAAAAAAAAGAAAGAAAAATAGCCTTTTGGAGCCGCTTTTAATAATTTGTTGCTATAGTGATAATTCGTTTTTCCATCTAATCTTTCTGACCAACTCCAAGTACTATACTACTACACACTTCTCAAACTGGAGTCTGCACAGCCCAATTCTATGCAGAGAGGATGCAAAACAACGGAATATTTGTGGAACAACTTTCTGGAGCATCAATTTTACTATAAGACTTGGAAGAATAGAAGTTAAATAATTTAGAAGATGCATGGATGCGTGTGTACTCAGTCGTGTCCAACTCTCTTGCGACCCCATGGACTGTAGCCTGCCAGGCTCCTCTGTCCGTGGGATTTCCCAGGCAAGAATACTGGAGTGGGTAGCCATTGCCTTCTCCAGGGGATCTTCCTGACCCAGAGATCGAACCCACATCTCTTGAATTGTAGGCGGATTCTTTACCACTAAGCCAATTTAGAAGATAAGTATGTGTAAGTCTGGGCTTCCCAAGTGGTGCTCGTGGGAAAGAATCCTGCTAGCAATGCAGGAGACAGAGAGACGAGGGTTCTATCCCCTAAAGGAGGAAATGGCAACCCACGCCAGTCACATGTGTAAATCTAATCTAAAACTAAGACAGACTGGACAGTGTTTCATCATTACTCCTGTGCCTCAAATGTCAGATTTTCTCTGCAAATATTCTAAGGGACACCAATTTTCTATTATTTTAAATAGGAAGAATGACAAAGGAATAGCAAGTTGATAAAAAAAAACTACCGATTTCCTAAATCACAACAAGGCAGTTAGATACAACTTAAAAATACCGTATTAGAATGTAAGATGCTTAAGGCATTGCTTCATGGGCACCACACATTTCAGTAGCAGTCGCCTCTCTTAGACCTGCAATGTCAGAGGTGGACCTCTCCTTGGCAGGTACTCCAAAGCTCTGCAAAGTGACTGTTGCGATTCTGACGGTCTACCAGTAACGTGTGAAAGCAACATGAAGCTTTTGTAACAAGGCCTTTAGGTTAAAATGTTGTATTAACTTTTGAAGGCTCCCTGTAACTTCTGTACGTGTAAACTTCAGCTTTGCTCTACAATACTTCATAAAAATGGCTCTGTAGCCCCTCCCCAGTGTCTCCAGCCTACGTAACCACTTCCTCTCTTTATGCTTACTGCCAGTCCCAGCCTCCCAACTGTCTTGCCCTCCTAGAGTCAGCATCCAGACTGATCTCTTGAATATATGAACAACATGACGTGTCCAGGGCCCAGCATCTACACCTGTCTGCACCACACACTGATTAACAGTGAAGAGACGCTTCTTTATGACTTGCCGGGTTCTGGGCACATAGTAAATACGTGTGAATGACTCTCCAACCACTTACTGCCCCTGGAGGACAAGGGGGATACTCTATTCACCTTTCCAGCGCTCGCACCATTCAAGCACATGGTAGCTGCCCCATAAATACGGTTGTTTAACAAATACTTATTTCCATATTTCCATACCCAGATCCTAACATTCCATCAGGAGTCAAAACATTAACGACTTGGATAAATGAACTTGCACTCGAATAGAGGACTGGCCCGGGGAGGGGCTGGTCCAGTTTAAGGCGGGTTTGCAGCAGACAGCAGGTGGTCAGCCCGAAGGCCTCGCTCCCCGTCTGTTCTCCAGCCTGTGAGGAGGGCAGAGGAGCCACCGCCCTCCCGTTGGGCCTGGATCAGGCTCCCCCTGAAGCTGGGGCTCTGGCCCTTGTGGGCTCAGGCCTGTAGGGCACAGCCCCTCGGGCTGAACAGGGCTCCGTCCAGGCTCAGCGATTCCAGCACTCTGGACAGCTCCGTTTTCCTCCAGGTGTTGGGGGTAGAGTCTGGGATCAGGACCCTGTCCCGCGTGTGCAGAGGAGGACTCGGGGCCTGCAGACAAGCTGACTCACAAGGAGCTCTGAAGAGTGCTGCCCACCATGGCTGGCGGTCTCATCTGTCCCACGACTGGACTGTCGAGAGACACAGGGCCACCAACCAGAGGCCACAGCCTGAGCCTGGGAAGCTGCAGGGCCCGAGGTTTAGGGCACAAGCTCACGGGCCGGGGAAGGAAGCAGCTGTGGGTGGGAGGGCTGAGGGCGGGGGCTTCACGTGGACGACGCAGCCCTCCAGCTGGGCTGTCCTGCGGCCCAGGAGCCCAGGCGGTCATCACTGGGTCAGGCTCAGGCCATCAGCGAGTCCTGGACTGCGCCCACGTGCAGCCCACGCACGGCACTGACGCAGCCTGCCGGTCCTCGTGGTTGGGGGGTGTCTCCTTTGGTTTCTGTTTGTCTGAGAAAGCATATGTCCCTTCACTTTTGAAGGATAATTTCACTGGATTCTAAGTTGAAGAGATTTTTCAATTTTGCTTACATGATTTGAGACATCAGATTAAATTTTATCCCTGTCCCACTAGGGGGAAGGTGTTTATTTTCTCTGCTTTATTCAAGCTTTTCTTTGTTCCTGATTTTTCTGCAGTTAGAATATAATATGTCTTAGTGTAGGGTTTTTGTTTTCTTTTTGTATCTGCCTGCATAGTGCTCTCTGAGATTCCTGGATCTGTGGTTTGGTGCTTATCATTAACTGGGGGAAATTCTCAGCTATTATTACTTCAAATATTTCTTCCGTTCATTTCTCTTTTCATTCTGGTAGTGCTATTATTTGTATGTTACACCTTTTGTAGTTATCTCACAGTTAACATTATTTTTTATTTCAGGCATTCCTTTGAACTCTTTCTTGGTTTCCATCTCTGCTTATATTACCCACCTGTTCTCCCCAGTGGGCTTCCCTGATAGCTCAGTTGGTAAAGAATCCGCCTGCAATGTAGGAGACCCCGGTTTGATTCCTGGGTCGGGAAGATCCCCTGGAGAAGGGATAGGCTACCCACTGCAGTATTCTTGGGCTTCCCTTGTGGCTTAGCTGGTAAAGAATCTGCCTGGAATGCGGGAGACCTGGGTTCAATCCCTGGGTTGGGAAGATTCCCCTGGAGAAAGGAACAGCTACCCACTCCAGTATTCTGGCCTGCATAGTCCATGGGGTTGCAGAGTCGGTGACGACTGAGCGAGTTCTCTCAAGTCATCCACTTTCTCCATTAGGGCCCTTAGCATGTTAGTCATAGTTATTTTAATTCCTGGTCCCATAATGCTGCAATTTCCACCATATCTGAGTATGGTTCTGACGCTTGCTCTGTCTTTTCCCTTTGTAGTGCACTCTGTAACTTTTTTTGCAAGATGGAACACAATGTCCTGGGTATCAGTAAATATGCTTTTAGTGTGAGGCTTGTTTGTATGGCTGGAAGTTAAGCTGTGTTTGCTCTCTGCTGTAGCAGGAGGTGTGGGAGGCTGGAATTCCCCGTGTCCTTGTCTTCCCGTCCCTCATCCTCTCCAGGTTCTGCTAGAGTTTTTCTCTTAGATAAGGCTCTCGGTTCTTCCCACTGTCACCTGAGCTTGACGCGGTGCCCTTAGATGTGGTGATGAAACGTGGTAGACCTCTCAGTGGGGCTGTGCCCAGGTCTGTGAGGTGCTCCACCCCACCCCCGTCCCCACTCAGGTGAGACCCGGGGGCCAGGAGGGGCTGCAGCTGGGTATTTGCCCTCCCTCAGGACTGTGCTACTGCTAAGTCGCTTCAGTCGTGTCCGACTCTGTGCGACCCCATCCCTGGGATTCTCCAGGCAAGAACACTGGAGTGGGTTGCCATTTCCTTCTCCAATGCATAAACGTGAAAAGTGAAAGTGAAGTCGCCCAGTCATGTCCGACTCTTCGCGACCCCATGGACTGCAGCCTACCAGGCTCCTCCGTCCATGGGATTTTCCAGGCAAGAGCACTGGAGTGGGGTGCCATTGCCTTCAGGAATGTGAGGCTCTGCTTATTCCCAAGGAGGCGAGGCTCCAGTGAAAGTTTCCTTGCGGAAGGGCTTTTGTGAAGAACAGAACGCTCTGGGCATATTTCCAAAGACTACTTCTTCCTTCTCCTGTGGAAAGCAGGAGAGTTTTTCTCTGATGTTCATCCTGAACACCTGGGGGCCCCTGTGAATAGGCTCACGGAAGTGTGAGCTCCTTAGGTAAGACTGGTGTGTGCACGCGTGCTGTCCTGTCCGACTCTTTGTGACCCCATGGACTGTGCCCGCCAGCCTCCTCTGTCTGTGGGATGTCCCAGGCAAGAATACTGGAGAGGGCTGCCATTTCCTCTTCTAGGGGGCCTTCCTCATCCAGGGATCAAACCTACGTCTCCATCACTGGCAGGTGGATTCTTTACCACTAGCGCCACCTGGGGGCCAGGAAGTGAACACAGCTTCTAGGACATGGGATTATTATTTTTGAAAAAATACTAAAAAATGAAATAGTTCAGGGAGTTGAAGCTGGGTTTAAAAAAGAGAGAGAGAAGCTGTGAGCTCAGGGCAGAATCAAGACGGGAACCAGGCCAGTGAAATTCACTCCTGCACCCTTTTCCCTGGGTGTGCCTCACTGCAGGTCCAGACCTAGAACGCCACCTGGGGTTTCCGTCACTGGGTCTTAAACCTTGGGGTCATGGGTGGGGAAGATGATTCAAAGAGTGAAAAGCATGGACCAGCTCTAAAGTTTTCCTCCAGTTCAGTAACCACCCGTCTGCCTGCCATGTACGCAGAGCCTGGCTACGAGTACAAGTTTAGAGAAAAGAGAGAACCCCTGTCCCAGTGGGGCACAGAGGCTGGAAACCACTCACCATCACTGTCAAGTAGAACACAGGTACAGGTGAGCGCAGGTACAGGTGAGCACAGACATACGTGAGCACAGGTACAGGTGAGCACAGGTACAGGTGAGCACAGATACAGGTGTGTGCAGGTACAGGTGCGCACAGGTACAGGTGAGCGCAGGTAGGTACATGTGAGCACAGGTACAGGTGAGCGCAGGTACAGGTGAGCACAGGTACAGGTGAGCACAGGTACCTGTGGGCACAGGAAGAGAAAGTGCTGAATCCTAACCACTAGACCACCAGGGAACTCCCGAGAGTCATTTTCAATCAGGCTAAACAGCTCAAACAGCCCGCAGGCCTGAGATCAGGAGTTCTAAGCAGGGCAGTCTGGTCCCAGAGGAGCTGGGGTGAAGGCGTGTTCCAAAGTCACGGGCCGAAGGCAAGCAGTGCCAGATGGATCGGCTGGATCTCAAATCAGACCAAAGTGCCAAATGAGTCCTCGCACGCTGAACAAGACCTTTACCAGAAAGGACAAAGCTTTAGCAAACATCCTGACTAAAACCTGGAGAGCTTTAAAACGCGAAGAAGATGGGGCTCAGGAGAAAGACGCACCTTCAAAATCCAGGGTCCTCGAGAAAAGCCGTGAGTGATGATGAGCTTGGGGCGGAAACTGCACCTATCTGCTCAGCGGCCGGGGTTCTTCTCTGGACCCCGGATGGGCCACCCAAAGGTTGACTAAAAGTGAAAAGACTGCCAGGTATTTCCCAGCAAAGACGGGTCTACTCAGCATCAGCAGAAAATTGCAACTGCAGGTTTCAAGCCTGGTGGCCACGCACAAGCCCCTGCAGGCAGGGAAAGCAGCTTTTGTAGAGGGGAGAGGAAGATGGGCGGGCTTGGTACACAGAGCCCCAGCTTCTCACGGGCTGGTCCTCACCAGACTGGCCGCGCAGTCCCCGCGTCCGCGCTGGCCTTGCAGGGGTGAGGGCTCCCCCTGCTGGCCGCCCGACTCTGCGTAACTGAGGTTTCCGTTCGTGGATAACGCATGTATTGTGTTTATCCCGGGTCAACTGGTGGCCGTCAGGGCTGCTTCCACCGCGGGGCTAGGGTGAGCGGCGCTGCTTGGACCGTCCCGTGCCGGATTCTGTGTGAGCACGGGCTCCCTTCTCTTGGGCGTCCTGTTATCTCTCGGTAAGACTAGTGAATAAGCTCATACATTTGCAGTTTTTCCTCCATTAGGCTTTCTCCTCCCAATCTACTCTTCAGCCTGACACTAGAGACTTTTAATTTACTAAAAAAAAACTGGGGGGGGGGGGGCATGCTGCCAGGCATGTGGGATTTACTTCCACAGCCAGGGGTTGAACCCAGACCCTGGAACTGGGAGTGAGGAGTCTTGACCCCGGGACCACTAGGGAGGTCCTAGAGTCTTCCAAAAATGTAAATCTTTCAACTGTGTAAATCAGATCATGCTGAGCCTCTATTTAAAATCTTTCCATAACTTCTCGCTGCTTTGGGGAAAAAAAGCCCAGCAAAAACCTCAGTGGGGCCTACCACTCCAACCTCACTGCTCAGGGTAGGCCTGGGTGGTTTTGTGAACATCCCTGGAGATGTTTCCCCAACTTGATTTTAGGTGAATTGAGGCTCAAGGCTCGGGCCCCCAGCATGCGCAGTTGCCATCGGTGCTTCTGTCTCCTGGCCCTCTGCTCTGGAGCTCAGACAGGAGGGGCCAGGCCGCCGCCTCCCCTGGGGTCCTGCCTGAAAGCCCAGCCTGCTAAGAGCTAAAAGGGGCCTCGGGGAGAGTCCCCTCTGGTGATCCCCTGGGAGCGGGGTCTGCTGGGCACACAGGGCATGGAGCTGAGTGGACAAGGCTCCGTAGCGTGTGTTTGTGTTAGGGGAAGCACACCAATTGAAACCGCCCACCCTGGCCTGGCACCCTAGTAACTATTTGCATAAGTTGTTTTATGACAGGAGGTTCTGGTAAGGAACACAGAACTAATAAGCCTCCACCAACCAGAAGAGTTTGGCAAAGGTCAAAAGGAGACACCACATGTCTGACCACCTCCCAGAATCCTTCTCACTGGCATCTATCTTGGCTGAACAAGGCCTGCACCACCAGGAAGGACTCTGAGTCAGATGATTAGCTAAAGACCCTCCGGAAACTAATCCCATCCCCATAAAACCCGAGACTGAGCCACTCGGCAGAGCAGTTCTCCTGGGTTCCCTCACCCTCTGCTCTCCACCCGAGTGCGCTTTCCAATAAAATCTCTTGCTTCGTCAGCACATGTGTCTCCTCGGACAATTAATTTCCGAGTGTTAGACAAGAGCCAGTTTCGGGCCCCGGAAGGGGTCCCCCTTCCTGCAACATTTTTATTTTGTGAAACGAAAGTATCTGCTGCCATATCAATCAACAAGAACTGCCGCAACCATCAGGGGTTTCTGGTCTCCAAGTGTGAATGAGGGCCCCCAAACTGCGATCTGGTGGCTGATGCCACTGCCCCCCACTCCCACCACAAGGAGATTGCCGAGGAGCTGGGAGAAGGCGTGAAGGGGCCGCCGGCCACATCTGCCCACCCTTAAGGTGCTCGGGAAGCAGGATTTGGCCCGAGACAGCTGAGGTGCATGAGGTTCCATGAGCCCAGAGGCTTGCATCGTCCCATACACAGGACACTAAATCCCTT